ATATGCATTCCTGCTACCTAGCAGTATGAATTGCTAATGTTTTGGTCTTTAGTTAAGCCTTAAAGACTCAAATTTAAAACAGACATCAAATTCACTCTAGATTTGTAGTAATAATTCATACAGACAAGTCACTGGTTGCCAAACAGAATGGCAATAATGTGGTTTTAATTACATGGTTTAATTAGAATGACAATGCCTGTCAAAACTGATTTGGTTTTTTATGCTTTCTTAATTATTTAATTTTTGTGCAATATTATATCGATATGTTAATGTTTTATAACACTTGAGCTTTCAAAAAACTTATTCAAGCAAGAAAAATACTGTGAAACAAGCTGTTAAAAGAAATTTTAAATGACTGTGCATTACTAACCAAAGTACTAATGAATTTGTCATTTACAGTCCATTAAGTATGGTTCAACTGTTCCTAAATTCAGTTCATTAACATTTTTAAAGCCTTGCATCTTTCTCTCAAATACTATGCTTTCATTGTAATTAAAAAACCTTCTAGTATGTAGTTTATACCAAATGATATTTATTGAACACATTATTTAAACTTGGCAGTAGAATAACACTTCAACTGGTACCTCATTTATTACTGAATGTAAATCATGCCACATCACCAAACCAACAAAACAAACATTCACTGTAGTATTGTTACTGAGGCCACCTATATTGCCGTACACAATTAAGTATGTTTTATATCTCATGGTTTTCTATTATTTTAGATGTTTTCCCATTTTGCTGCTGCAATTTCACCTAACAAAGAATTTTTCAATGAATTGGAAACCTTGTAAGTCCACCTTATAGTTTGTAAAGAATTTTATTCCTTTGAAATCAGAAAAAAATAGACATATATAGACAAAATAATATACATTATAATACTGCATTTGCAGTTCTAATTGTCCTGAAATATTTAGTAATAGGGCATAAAATGTCACTTGAAATATCCTGGCCTAGATTTATCAATCTATAAATAACATGCAAACTAATCATGTATAGGCTGTAGTTAGTACTTAACCATTTCATGCATGATATTTAGATTTATAACACTCATTTGATTGCTGTTAGATATACATTTTTATATTCTTATTAACAAATGTTGGGCAGTAACTGATAAATAATTTAGGTTAGAAATGTCATAATTATTTTTGAAGTATTTATGCTGAAGATGGAATAAGAAAAATTCTGAAACGTTCATGTTCTTCAGTCAGTCAACAAATTTATTATTTCCTCCAAATAAGTTCTGAGCTTATTTTGCATTAACAGTATCATTCCAACAATCATCACATAACATATTCACTTTCAGATGGGGGTGCATATTTCAAAACCTGTTACTGATCAGTCCTGTAAATTCAGCTTATTTCCAATTTTACGAGTCATATTTTCTAGGTATCATTTTTCCCCAAACTGATAAATACAGTGATACAATTTGTTGTCAATAAAAATGGTAAATGTGGAAATAATGTTTCTAAAGGACTTTTTCCAGGACCTCATGATAATAATTTATTTTCCAGGATCTTCAGTACTGAAAAACCTCCTTATAAAATTTTAGTGCAAACTCTAAGTATTTATTTTCTAAGAAAAGGTGAATGGATAATTGACTTTTGTACTGGCAACGTCACTGGTCACTATTGAGAATCTTGAACTTTTACATGTAAAATTAAGTAAATTTCAAGGAATTTTTTCAGTTAAAGACTTAGACAATTACAAGAAAATTGCCGATTGATAAAACGAATTGTAAGTTTGGATTTATTTGTAAATTTTTTTCTGCTCAAGTATTGTTTAATGAAATTAAAAACAGAAACATTTTGGTTATTTAATAAAAAAAATAAAACTGAAGAAACCATTGTCAATAATTTTGTCAAATTTCCTTCAAGGTTTGACAAAATTATTGAAACCTTCAAGGAAATTTGATTCTAAGAAACATCCATATATGGATTTAATTCGAGTTTGGTTAAAAGTTATTAAACAACCAGCTATTTTACTTAATTTTTTATTCGGTAAGATTAAAAATACTTAGAAACAATAATTAAATTAAAGAAAATAACCTATTTTATGGCAACTTAGTTCTAACTTCTGATTTCAGTATTTCTTCATAACAGTTCTTTTATAGGTTTTTTTTTATTCTTTTAAACTTATTAATAGAACAATTTTTTATTTATATGTAATATTAGATTATAAAAATTTTACCGCTTAAAAAAAAGAATAAGAGTTTGTATTTATTATAATTGCATTTTTGGGAATCAAGTTTATGAACAAGTAATACTGTAGGTATTCCAGTGTGTGCAAATCATTCTACCTGGGAAGCCAATTTTTATTTTTAGGAAAAAAAAAAATTATAGAAGACACTTCCAGTTGTAAGTTACTAGCTGTCATACCTTTTTAATGCACTGGGAAAACATAGGAATCCCAGGGAGAGATATAAGGGTAAATTCTGAATGCCTTCTCAGATGTCATTTTTGGTGGGGGATAAGGATTTATGCAAGGTTTGGTGACAATATTAATTTACATTTTCTTTAACATACAGGTATATCTCGGACTTAATTAGTTTATATAATCCTGATATTAATAAATATTTACATAATGTTTTTCCTTTAGGCTTACAAGTTCAGTTTTGATAGTAATATTTGAATGAAAAGAAATTTTCTTTTCAAATTTATGTTCTCCCTTATCCTAATAATAATTTCCGACTTAAGCAAAAAAAATATTGTAAATTCACAGTTGCTGAGATTTTGCAGGATCTCTTAATAAACTTCAATATTTCGTTTTTAACATGTCATTATGTTATTACAAAAAATTAGTATTGGTCAGAAAAGTAAAAATTTATATATATGTAATGGGTTATATGTCTGGGTACTTATAAAACATACCACACTTATAAGATTTTCATAGTTGACAATAGAATGTTATGGCCAGAGGATGGGATTATACTAGTTATATTGGTGGAAACATTGTAGTATATTTTTTATCTTTTACAAGTATGGTTCTTTACCTAATGTCTAACTAAATTGCAGATAATAATACCATGGTGGGGTCTGGAATGCAAATATCAGGAGATGAGTTTTGACTTTGCACCCCCCAGTAATAGTAGTGATTCTTTTTCTGTTTGTGAGGCAGGTGAAGGGAGGTTAAGATTGGTAGATGGTGTAACCCCATCACTATCTGGATCATACTACTTCATACACATCCAAAACTAGGATACGTTATATTTTCACACTTTTTAACTTTTACACTGGTGTTGCATTGTTCTGTTGCTGTGATTTCTTTGTGTGTGTGTGTGTGTGTGAACATTTTAAATTATCTATAAGGACTATCATGTATTCAGTATACAGAATTTTTCTGTTAATGGTATAGAAAAGATGAACAGTGTCTTATTTCTACTAGCTAAAGAATTGTTCCATAGATGTATTTTTGTCAAATTACTGCAAAAATTCGAAATGATTTCTGGTATTCATTGCCTTCATATATTGTCTTGAGAAATCTTAAAGAAAAAAGTGATTTCTTTACTTTGCAGAGTGTGCATTTTTGTTGGTTTGATAAACTTACAATTTTCTTATCCTAGCACTCTTTGTAAGTGTAACATTTTGATCAATTTGTTAGTACAGAGTATTTTCATCTCTTAATATGCAGCAAACAAAAACAGAGTTACCTTATTTATTTGACAATCCACATCCATGAATCAATGGAGAGTTATTTTGTAACCTAAACACATTTCTTGCCACCATTATATAAGAAAGTCATTGCAAAAGAAATGACAATTCTTTCATAAAGTTGTTACAGTTTCATTTATACTGCAGTAGATGCAAAGAATTACCTGAACTGTGTTTTACATGCTTCAATGAAAAGCATAAGAAATAAATGTTAAGTGCTAATGAAAGAGTGGAAAAAACTGTTTTGTGGTGTTAAATAGTAACTGTAATAGTAATAGCCTGAGGAATGGTAGAAAATATTACATAGAGTGAAATTTTAATTTTTGACTGAATTATAGATAGTGACTGAACACAATTTAAAAACCAACTGAAAGGTAACTTTTACTGACAATCTATGAAATCAGATAAATGAGTTTACAATAACAGTGGGCAACATTGCTTTTCATAGTGTTGAAAGCTCTTGGTATCAGAAGTAGATTTGGCCAAAATCTGAAGGAAATACTGAAAAAAACTAGTTGAACTGATCACTGTGTAAAACCCACTTGAGGAGGGGTGGGCAAAATATGGCCTGTCTAATATTTCTGTCCTGCAGGTAAGTCCAGCAGTTGTGGAAAGAGCGTAATGGGGTCCTTATACAATCAATGTTGAGGTAGTTTAATTAATATAGTAGAAATGTGCGAGCTGTGACAACTTACCAAAATTTGTGGAGTAGGCCCCCCCTGCAAAAATTATTGCCCACACTGCACTTGAGTGTGGTGTGGCCATTAGTAAAAATAATGTTAAACCACCATACATTAGAGAAATGGCATGATACTAAATCATATAATACCACAATGACAACTTCTGTGGGACAGCTCATTAGTTCCAAAGGAGAACAACCTATAGCAATATGCAACTAGGACAGTACCAATTTAGACACATTCCAGATCCTGTCTTACTGAGTGTTAAAGCTGTGCACACATCCAAATGACAGTAAAATTTAACATCATCAAGAACAGTGTTTGACTGAACGTTGTTGTTTCCACTACTGTATTGTTAAGTCCTAATTTTAGCTTATTTTATGTTTGTAACCATACAGTACCTATTCTGTAAGAACCTAACATCTTGAATGAGTCTAAGCTTTCAAATAAAAGGGCAGCTTGAATAAGAGAGGCAGTGATCAAAGCTCAAGAAACTTGGCTGGTTGTGTTTTTCAATAATATAATTTAAAGGAAAATAATTTGAAAGTGGTTTATTACATTGTCCCAATTTTATTGAAAGCAGTATCATTCAAGGAGGTACAAAGCCAAAAAGAATAACTTTTTAGGAAAATGAAAACACTACCCTTTATTTATGTCATTTCCATTTCAGGTGTTGATCATTGATAGCAGGTCATTTCTTGAGTATAATACCTGCCATGTTGCCAGTGCTGTTAATGTCTGCTGTTCAAAGCTTGTCAAACGTAGATTACAACAGGACAAGGTAAGTCAAAAACTTTTCTTTACATAATATTTAAAAAGGTAGAATATTATGTATGTGGCTGAAATATAATTTTTGTTCAGTTGTTTTAGCTTCTGTGCTGTTGTTTTTTGTGTTTAATGCAAGGCTTTCATTTGCTGTTGTATATTGCATAATTTCATATACAACTGCAGATCACCAATTAAAATTCATTTTAATTCTTTGAATATGTTTTTATTGCTAACATAGCTAGTGAAGTATAATTTATAACTTCCCATTCCATAAACATGGTTAACATACTTTATTTCACTCATACTTCATCTCTACATAACTAATTTCATTTATATTTTCTATTCTTATGCTAAAATTTAAGATGTTCAGGTGATTTATGAATTAACTTTTTATTACAGATGATATCAATAAAATATTTGGTATTTTTACAAAAAATTTACTCAAACAAAAAATATAATTTTTAATTTTCAGATCTTCCAGTTTTGACCATTAATTTCCTAGTGCTGAATATTACTGCAGTATCTCCGAAATAGGATGCATGAATTATCATAAACTTCTTTAAAATAAGAAATCTTTGCTTAATGTAAAGTTGGTTAGTTGTAGTACTTTTTTGAATAGATTAGTATGTATTTTGTGAATTATGTTGTCAACATATTTCATTGATTTATTTTTTATAATTTAATTGTTATAATTGTGTACTAAGTATAATTACTCTTCAATGAAGTTGTTGGAATGTCTTTTGTATCTCTGAACTACTACATTCCTTTATGGGGATTGGTTAGAATGTTTCAAACAAAGTAGGTGTACAATTTCATTTAACCCTTTCGAGACGGGTCACAGGTGAAAGGCCATATCATCTTGTTTGTTGACTCGCATTCAAAATTTTATTGAACGACTATTTCATGAATTTATGTCAATAATTTTGGTATCAAACTGTAGATTATAATTCAAATTTTAGAACTATACATTATTCAGTTTCTTAATTTGAAATTAAATATTTAAAAAACACAGATAAACATTGATTTTTGTGTGTGACATGGTATGTTGAATGCAGCACTGGTTCAAATTAGATGTTTGTGAAGTCAAAATACTAAGTCTACAGTTTGTTACAAATTAGAAACACAAACTACAGATATTGACAAGCTGGAATAAAAAAAAGAAGGTCTTATCTTTTCTATTTGCTAAGATATTGCTCATGTAATGAATCAAACAGTGGCACCCCGCCCACCTCTTTCCATTTTTGAAAATGCTCCATTATATACACTTACTTCTATATATAACATGAATAAACAATCAGAAGCTCAGAATGTCCCCCTAGTGGTTTTCTCAGTCTTTTTAACGTGGCTAGGGCCATTTCTTTCTTTTGAACCAAGATTTCAATGCAGTAGGTTGTCTTTAGTCTTGCTTGAAATTTCATATTTTTTTTAGAGTAAAATACATCTTAGTTACTAAGCTTGATAAAATATAGTTGGATTCCATGGTAATGATGTAGTAATTTATGATTTTTTAGTTATTAAAATGTGTATATAAAACTTTAAAAAATATTTTGTTTCATAACCTCCACATGCAAAAGTTTTAAAGGCTTAGCAACCTACATCAACCGGGAACAAAGGTCGTAACTATAAGAGATAATTGTTTGCTTTACTTCTTTATTTTCTGTTCTATGTTTTAGGAAAAATATGTTTAAGAACTTGTTTCAAAATAGCAATAATCTATATACACATATAATGTATAATAATTGAAATGTGACCGTATTTTACAAAATACTAGTCGACTGAAACACTGCCAAGACAAGTTACTTTGTACAGACCAAAGGTCAGTATTATGTTATTTGATACGGTAACGTGAGTGCGCGTGAGCCACGTCAATGTAACTTCTGTATTGTTAGCCAGGCATGGGTGAAAGGACAGTATAATAAAAATAATAAATATATATATAAAAGTATAATGTTATGAGATTTAAGTTATTTCATCTAAACATTTATGTTTTCGTGTTACAATCTGTGTTCATTATAAAATGAGAGTGGCATAATTTATGTTTATTTCTTAATTTATTATGGTAGTTGTGAGATCGTTCAAATCTACCGAACCCATACAGAGATTGATTACTGAAAATAACATAAAATATAAAGTTTTTTTCTTAAGAAACATTTGATAACTATCCAGACATTATACAGATTTTGCATATGAACTTTAAAAATTTTCTGATGACAGATAGGCAAGATGTGAAAAGAAAAAAAAAGGTACGAGAGAAATATTGCTTTACAAACCTTACGACTTATAAAAAAAAAAATCAGATATTTTGTATATGAAAGCATTGTAATGTTTACTGATAATCTTGTTAACGTTTGCTTACTAATTTAAAAGTTATAACATGAAAACTATAACAAGCATAAAATGGTTATGAGGTCATCACATTGACTGACACTGTATTGAAAGAGTTAATGATGATAGTATTCTTCTAAGAAAAAACATTAAGGTCATTGAAAGTAGTTATTTGTAGTTTTTTTTATTATTACATAATGTTTCATAGTCTTATTACAAATTGTCCATGTCAATTATATTGCTGATAAGCACAGGACTAAATATCATCAGTTGTAATAATTAAATAGAAACTATTATCATTTCATACTATTCCTGCTATCAATGAGCATTATTAAAATTAACTGAACTAACTCTAGAAGTGATAACTTTGTTGTTTTCAAAAATTAGATTTCTTACAATATTTTAGTAAAAACTGATTGTGTGTATCACTCTTATCTCTTGCTAGATTTTGACTTTTCATATGTCTTATTTAGAACAGTAATGTAATTTGAGTTGAAAACTTAAATAGAAAAATAATGATTTTGTAATTTTTTTAAAAGGAAAATTTCACTTACATAGTTGAATTATGTACTGCAAAAGTTAAACATATTCTTTAATAAGTCAGCCGTGTGTGAAGGGATCTAAAATTATAGCAGACTTTTTTGGTCTTTATGTTTGGTAGATGTGTCATGAAGAATTCAGTTTCTTTTTCATAACAGATTACAACATAGTAACATTTTTTTTATAGTATGTCTGTTCAAAAACAATAACAACTATGATGTTTTTATTCTTTCCTGTGTTCCAGTAATCTGCTCAATTAGATTTTCTTGGTGCTGCATACTATTAAGTGGTGGGCTTATATATTTTTTTTTCTGAATCAGATTTAAACATTTTTTGTCTTTTCTTTCTGTTGCTAAATTTTTTTCTGCATATCTTGATTTAAAATTTAAAGCTTCTTTGGTGCAAATAAATTTGTGTTATCCACGGGTTGTTAGTTTGGACCTGGTCATCCACATAAAGTAAATTTTCTAAATTTTTTTCATTAAATAGGAAAATAAATTAGCAGTTAAGTATTGTGCTCTTATCGAATCCTGCAAGAAATGGTATTCATGTTTAATCCAGTTCTTTACTTCAAGGTTGCTTTTCACAAATGCTTTAAAAATAATTTATATAATAAATATTAAAAACAAAGCTTATTCTAAATACACAAATGTTCATTACTTTTCAGTTAAAAAATTTAATTTCAGTGTCATCTGTCACTGTGATTCTGTTTCACATACCAGGTCCTTTCTTTTTCTTTTAGTATAAAAATATAAAAATTTCTTGTTTGACACAATTTCCAAAACTTGTGACACTGTCAGTCATCTCTGTGTGCGTGTGTGTGTGTGACATATGCTGATGACAAGCTTTTAACTCTGGCACCTAGCTGGGTACATTCATTGCCATAAGGCAGATTTGCAGCATTGAAATAAATTCTTAATCACTAAAGCTTTTGTGGTTAGTTTGGTACATAATTTTTTTTTCTGAGCATAATACAAAAATCATAGCTCTATAGGAAGAGAGTCAAAATAATTTTAAAGAACATAGTGCCAATATGAACCTTGTAACTTCAATACAAGTGTAGTTTTATCAGTTTTAAGTAATCACTGTTTCTCAACCTTTGTTTTAATGGTGTTATTTAAATTGTCTATATCTAAGCTCTGAAAAGTCATAGGCTAGTGACCCAGTCACATAATACACTTCTCTGTTCTTTTCACTTGTATAAGCCAACTTGGATTCCAGTTCAGTGGAGTATCATGTAGAGATCAGAATAAGTGATAAAAGTTTAGCTTAGTGATATATTGCTAGAAGAAAAGGTGTTTCTGACCAACTTGTGCCACAGTTACAGTCCAGGTGTTTTACTAAAGCTTTTGAAAAGCTTGCTTTATTATTTTATACATCATTTGAATTATAGTGTTGCATTACAATAGAAAAATATACTTATCATGGAATAAGATGAGGTAAGCTTGACTGCATGAAGTTTTATTTCACTAACAAGTCTGCTGATTTTTAGGCCATGTTTACATTAGTAACTTAAGTAACTGCTTCAATGGGCAAAGAAAAATCAACAAAAAGAATTGATAAAAAAATTAGATGAAAATGGGTTTAAAATGTATTAACTATATTAAGTGAAAATTGCTGACTTAAAAAAACAAGTCAGCTTGCTTTTAATTTTGGTATGGTATAAAACTATTTTTTTTGTATGCCAGATGTAAAAAATCAGTAATTGAAATCTAAAACAATGGTAAACATTTTTAATTGTTTTGAAAAAAATGTATCAGTGAAATCTTTTTGACTTTTCAAAGCTGTAAATTAAAACAACTATCACATATAATAATAATAATAAATTCAATTTTGAAGAATTTACATAATCTGTTGAAAGTTCATCTTAAATTTTAAACAATTTCACCCAGCAGTTTTTACAATGGAATACATTGAGGCATTGTCCTTCATATTTTTACTTAAGGGATAACCAAGTTTAATGAATGAAAAATGCTTTCTAGGAGAGTTGACCCTATTGTAAGATATATATAGTGGATGAAGGAAGATGTCCACTCACTTTATGCATATGTTTTATCAAATTATATTTCTTTCATGAAAATATTACTAACAGAAATTATACATAGTTTGTTAACTTATTAAGCTCTGCATTAAGCTTAAGGACAGTGATTCAAGCATCAGTATGCTTTATTCTTAACATTTTCCAAGCCAGAGGAGTGTCATTGGTATCCCCTGGTTATTTCCTTCTCACTATAAAAATACTCAACCAAACTGCATGAAAACTAGAACAAACTTTCTGAGTAGTATCTAGTTGCAACTAATTTTTCTATCATTTCCAATGTCATGACATTTATGAAGTTTTGTTGTAAGACATTGTTTGAAAAAAAATTAAATACTTCCTTTCATCTTAGAATTAAATTTTTTTGTTGTTGTTGATCAGAAAGCTCCATTTTATATACTCCTGGCAGTTTCAACTTCATTAATATATTTCTTTTAATTTTATTTTTTCAATTGCATTAGTCACCATTTTTGGCTATAAATCATAAAAAAAAGTGCAAAATATGAAAAAGCTTTGTCAGTGACCTTTCAGAGTGACTTCAGGTCAGGCTATGTATCCATATTTTTGCTAATGTTATTCTTAGTTGGAATAAACATATGCCTATTAAGCATTTTTTGTTTCATAAATAATAAATTATTTGATTTATGTACATTGTTTAAATACACTTAACATTAATAATAATCAATAAATAAGAACTAGAGTCAACAGAATATTTTGCTATTGGTTGCAGTGCATGTTAAATCAAACTAAACATGTCTGATGTCTTCTCAAAGAAAAAAAAAATCTATAATATTCAAACAAATAAAATTCAACATAAACACATTTCCAGGAAGGAAAAGAATGTACCTAAAGAATCTATAAAGAAAATAATATTCCCAGATCTGTGGTTTGTTCCTAAGCCTTCTTTCCATGACATTTCATCTAGTCACTTTTCCATTAAACCATAACTTTTCCTGTTACTTAGTTCAAAAGAATATAGGGGTGATACAGCTATATATAGATCATCCCTACATGACTTTCAATGTTACACTGTAAAATGCTCGAGTACAAAATGGTTACAAGGTTGGTCAATTCAACTGACCTCGCAGTGAGAGTCTGTAAATAGTCTGTAATAATCAAGACATGTTTTGACGTGACTTCTATGTAATCCCAGGCTCTTAGTTACACAAACTGCATACTAACAGTCAGGAATATATAACTTCCAACTGCAGTAATATTAAAGTCAAGTAATGCATTTTACAGTGTAACTTTAAATTTTAATATTGAAAGTCATGTAGGGAGGATCTGTGTGTATAGCTGTATCATTCCTGTATTCTTGCTTGCATTCTTTTTGGCACTGATGTATCCTCATCATATTACACTTTAAAAAAATTTCTAATTACTTGTTTTGTGATGTTTTTCCAGACTGAAAGTTAGTGTATTCTATGAATGTGTTTAATAAAAGATAATATTATGTGTATTGATATTTTTTTACTCCTTCATTTCATACACAATATTAGGGCTGGCTCCTTAAAGACACTGACTGTATAGTGTATTACTTTCATAGTGTCCAAAGCATTGAGTATTCTAATTTTACAGTCATCTAATGTTCTTCTATTATTGACTGGCAATTCTTGTACCATCCTGTATTTGAGCTTTTTAATAAACACCAGATTTCTGTAAGAAAGCTAACAAGAAGAAAGATGAACAATTTGATGGGTTGATCACTTTCTGGTATCATAGCAATGGTTTCTTGCCTTGTTTTTGAGCTTGTTGGGTAGAGAAACAAATGAAAGTGAATGGCAATCATCTTTTAAAGTAAAAGTCTGTCATTGTTGACTTTTTTAGCATGCATATTTGTGTTATGTCTATTTAGTACCATGGACCATCTCTACATGTAGAGTCTACTGACTTAATAATACATTGTACTAAATAGTTTATAATCTGCTCTATCCAATGGTGTTTAAACTTTGTCTATAGCTATTTTCAAAACTGAGCTTCATTAATAGTTTAGATCACATGGTCATAAAAAAGGTGAGAATGAAAACACAGGAAGAGAAGGAAAATCACATAAAATAACAAAATTGTATTTTATGTTTTGGGATGGGTAGAAAAATTATAAAAGAAATTACAAGTGTATTGTTTTCAGGCAAGGCTCCTCAAAGCTGCACATAAATGAAAACTTTTACTTTTGCTTTCTGTTTCTTTCAAAAATTACATTGAATAAATGTTAGAAAATGACTGTGGA